GCGTATGAGTCTCCTATTAACCAAAAAAACCCAACTTTTTTTAAAGGAGTTTTTCAGAGCCTGGAGTAAGTCAGCTTGCTATCCAGAATGAGTATGAGTTCGCAGAGAAGGACTGATTGACCCAGGTGGAGTCAGGTGCCTCCCCTTGGATCAGTCATTCTAATGGAGGTTGTAGGAACATGGCAGCCAAGGGGGTGGCTGTGTGACTGGAGCATAACTGCTCTCATGGGCGTCCCGCTACTACTAGCAGAGAGCAGGGCGGGAATCCCCGACACTGAGGGGGAGTCTTCATTTCAATTCTCACTTTGTTTAGCCAATCTTGGATCGCTTGTTCCTGGTCTTGGAGACTTTCAAGGACAAGGATCCTGTTTCTTCCACTGTGCCCAGCATGGGGTCTGCCTCACAGTTTCCTTTTGTTTTTTAATAAATATTTACCTGGGTGATAGATGTCATTTATTGGGCCCTACCGTGGGCCAGGGACAATCCTATGGGCTCCACATGCATTACCTTGTTCAAGCTTTACAGCAACCTTAGGTGATGGATTTTATTCACCATATTTTTCAGATGAAGAAACTGAGTCCCATCAAGGTCAAGTAACTGGCTCAAGGCCACACAACCAGTAAGTGCAAGATGTGGAATTTAAACTCCCACTGATACAACATTTCATGATGCCAAATATTTAAAAATGAATGAGTGAATGCTACTGTAATTGATTTGCTTAAATACCAAAAACTACTCACAAAACAATTATTTAAAATTGAATTCTACTAAAAAGCAGGTACGTAGGAGGCCACAACTCAAGATGACTTCTGAGTGCTACAATTGATGTGTTTTCTGTGACGACAATGCCACATTCACACCATATTGAAAGAGCAAATATGTGGGCTGGCACTATGTTAACCACAGCTTAATAATGATGTTCTAAATGGAGACAATAAAACTGAATAAAGTTGGCCTTTTCTACTTGGCACAGCCAGACTAATCATAGGCCATTACCTATCTTCATTATGCTGTTGACCTCTGAATGTCAGTGACTTACAGTCTACAGGTGACATACAGTTAGCATCGAGGGTGCCCTGTAACTTTGCTGGAGCCAAGAGCTAAAGAGTAAAAGGTAAATCTACCTTCCTCAATGCTTTATGTTCTAATTCAAATCACTTTGAGCTTTTATGTCCTCCCAATACTCTCCAACAGGTTGGTCTGCGCTCTAAACTGTTCACTAGTGCTAGGACAGGTCGGGCCTGTTCCCTCCTCACACCCTTGCTCATGCTGCTCTAGCAGTGGCATTGCTTCCTCACCCCACCTGGGACTTATTTAGCCCTATGCTTTTATTCAAGGACCACTGACACCCACACAAAGTGAATATGAATAGATTTCTCTGCCAACACTGTCCTAGGTCAGGGGTCGGCAAACTTTTGAGATGGAAGAGCCCATTCCTATTCTTCACAGCAATTTAAAAAATATTCAAGAACCATAAATATATTTTTACAAATAAGGGAAAATTTTAAATCCTTTACAAGTTGTACAAATGAAACTATGATCGTTTTAGTTTCATTTTCAGTTTTACTTCAAAACCACATGTACGTACCCAAAGAGCCGCATGTGGCTCGCGAGCCGCAGTGCGCCGACTCCGTCCTAGGTGATGCTTAGTATTCGACACAGCAGTGCCAGGGTGCTACAAAATGGGAGCTTCACTTTCTTGTTTTTTTTTAAAGATTTTATTGGGGAATTGGGAGGAGGGCAACAGCGTTGGGGAACCGGGGAAGGGGAACAGACAGGTAGACAAGTTGCTGTTTTGTTCTTCAGCCTAGCCGTGGAGGACGTCGCTTCACCGGCCCATGCTGTCATGATCATTGTGCTCTTCCCAGGTGAGGCAGTCAGTCGCTGGTCGTGGTCGGCCGCTCACACCGGCTACCAGCCGCTCACACTGGCTGCCAGCACTCATGTAGCTCACGGCAGCCCACTGCAGGACGGGTGCAAGCTCTTGCCTTGGCAGCGACCCACCGGAACCCCGCCCCCGGTTGGGCCGCCCGCCAACCTCCCCGCCGTTAGAGGGCGGGGTCCCCGGCCCCCAATGTGGGATCCAAACCGCAGCCCTGCCGCTCAGAGCCGGCACTCCCAAGCAAGCTCTCAACCAGCTGAGCTACTCGGCCGGCCCAAGGGAGCTCCACTTTCAAGTTGGACTTTGTATCAGTCACTTTTTGCTGTGTAACAAATAACAAAAATCTCAGTGTCATATGACAGTAAAATGATACAGCCACAAGATAGCTGAAGTTCCGTAGATCTAAGCTGAGCTCCTTTAGGTTTAATCCTTATGCAAGTTGGGCCCAGGTATGCGCCATATGTTTCTCCTCCTCTTCGGTGTAGGAGCTCCCTCAGGCATGCTATTCTCATAGCAAAAGACAGAGGCAGTAGAGAGCAAGCCCAACCATGCATGCAGATTTGAAGCTTCTGCTCATAGCATATCTGCTAACATTCTATTGGCCAAAGCTAATCACATGGCCGAGGCCAAAGTCAGGGAGTGGGGACAGTGCTTTCCTCTCATGGTGGGAGGGGGAAGGGAGTGAATATATGCTGAACAATAAATAATCTCTACAGACACTAACATATATTTAAAATACCCCTTCTTTTGCCATAGCTGGCTGGAGAACACAACCCAAATAAAGAGGCAGAAAACACATGTAGAGCAGACAGATGGCAGAGAAACAGGGCAGCACAGTGGCACTCACAGCCTCTCCCTGGGTAATGAGTAAAGTAGATGGAGCAGTTCGGAGAGCACGTGGGAAGGCAGCAAAGGACGCTCAGCAAGAATGTGTTGTGGGCAGTGATGGAAGGAACCCCCGTTGCGGGTCGTCACACAGCTGATGGGAGCGCGAACTCATGGCAACATCTGATAGGGCAAGTCGTCAATACACATCACAGTTTGTAAATGTACATGGCCTTTGATCCAGCAATCCCACTGCTGAAGGTATGCTCAATGGATAGAATCTAATAAGTACACACAGATTATACTCATTTGCTTGTTACAGAAAAAGAAAGAAAGGAAGGAAGAAAGAAGTCAAATTAAGTATTGATCTCTAAAGGCCTGATTAAGTGAATTATGGTAGAGCCATATGACATATTATAAAGCTGTTAAAATAAGTTAAATCTATACATGCTAATTCTTTCATTAAAAAAAACAAAATCTATTTATTGTGTGTCTGCCATGTGTCAAATCCTGTCGTTGGCGCTGGAGATGTAGCAGAACATGAGACATGCGTGGTCTCTCTTCTCAGGGAGAAAGAGTATGGGAGAGCATTAACAAGCCAACACATAAACAAGATAACCTCAGGACATGATAACAGCCATGTAACGACACAACAGGGCGATGTGCTCAAGGGGGCCGGGAGACGGACCGCCTTCGATGGGCGTCTCTGGAAGGCGTCTCTGAGGAAGCCACGGTAGAGCTGAGGCCTGGACGACAAGAAGGAGCCAAGCCCTTCCTGAAGAACATGAAGATGCAGGGGCAGAACATTCTAGGGAGAGGACCCAGCAAGGGCCGTGAGGTGGGAACAAACTCAGCTTATTCGAGGGGAGGACTCAGTGCGAGTGTGGCCGGAGCCGAGTGAGTGGCGGTGTCAGACGAGGCTGGAGAAACGCCAGACGCCCACGTCTCTTCTGTTCCGTCTCTTACACTTGTGTCGTTGGTTTGTCCATCTGCAAAATGGAGCTACGAGTCACTGGCAGCTTTCATCTCCTAGGATCTCTGCAAGAAGTCTGTGCAACAGGCCGGGCAGGCATCAGCACCCCCACTTTACAGGTGAGGAAGCTGAGGCTCAAAATGTTTAGTGACTGGGCCCCAAATCACACACTTTGTAGTCAGCAGAATCAGACTCAAATTCAATGCTTTGTCCACTACACCGTACCCTCATCCACACCATTTGTGAATTTCAATAATAGTAACCCTAATTCTGAGGTGACTCTTCATAACCCAGCTCTTCTTAAGAGGGATTTAACCCCCATGATGTGGATAAATTGAGTTTTTCAGTCTGCAGCTTACGGCCACCACAGGTTTTCTTTTCGACATAATCTGCTGCTTACATATTTCTCTCTGCTGCCAGCATGTGAGAGGCCAGCATGGCGGAACTGTCCATGGTGCGCAACTTGGACAGGCAGAGAAGTCAGGGGTGGAATACATGGTGAGGGGCACCAGCAGTGCCCACTCTACACATCCAAGGTCACACAACTTGTGAACTGTGGGACCAGGATGTGAACTGGTATCCACCCAAGTGGAAAGCGTGTGCTCTTTCCAATAACTGCGACAGTATGTGGGAAGCGCCTGGTCACAGCTCAGTGAACTTTAGCTGCTGTTACTGTACCGCATGCTGTGTGGTTAGGTGGGTCGCTCCCTGATCATCCAGTCTAATGGCAAAGAATCGCCCTAAGATCCGCAGGACTAAAAAGATGAGGTTGTGAGGATCCCCACGCCATGGAACCCCTCTGCTCACTTCACACAGGAGGCTGGCAGTCTCGCCCTGCTTTCCACAGCAGAATCTGCTGGGGACTGGGAGATTAATCAGACTCCGTTAATTCTGCAGAATAAACCTTAGCATGTTTACCCACGCACTCACAGGCGTTATCATAAATCACCAAAATGAAAGCTCACCTGTCTGAGCAGAGGCACAGCCTGCACCTGGGCCCTGGTGGCAGAAGGTCACAGCCCCCACGGCTTCCCAATGGCTCCACTGCTTTCTGAGGCTTCCTGGGGCCAGCAGGACCAGCAGCACAGAGCTCCGGCTTGGCCATTACCAGTCATGAACGTCAGCGCCGCAGTTCTGGAGGGGCTCGAGGGCTACGTGTGTATTTTCGCTCGGAATTAGGAAAGACTAAGCTACATGCAGAGGCCACTAGAAGTTTGAGAGGCACGCATTTTCTTTTTCAAGCCATAGCTGCTTTTTTTTTTTTTTTTTTTAGCTGAGCCCTCCTGCCACCTTTTGGCAGCTCAGCAGCAGCAGCTCAGCTCGGGCGGGACTCGAACCGCTGTTGCTCAGAGCTCGCACTCTTGAGCGAGCTCTTAACCAACTGAGCAAGGCTGGCCCAAGCCATAGCTTCTTAAGTCAAAACCTAAATAAGACCTTAAAAATTCAGAAAGGATTAGCAATGTGCCCGAGGTCACACAAGTCATTAATGGCAGATCTGGGACCAGAACTAGGGCCACAGAACTCGGTCTAGTGCTCTTGCCACTCCAATCCATCTGCCCGATGGTCAATCGTATTTACTCCCTCCCTGGATGAGTCGTCGGCTTTTCCCTGGTCTTCGTCACATGGCTTCCTTTGGCCATGGAACAGAAGCAGACCCACTGCAAGCGGAGACTGAGATGCACTTGCTCAGTTGGGCACGCTCTGCCTTCAGCACGAGAAGACGGTGCTAGACAACTTCATGGGTCCACGTAGAATGAGAGACTCATGCAGCAGACCCCAGCCCAGCCCGCAGCTCAGAGGCTCCCAGTCCTGCTCGCCTAGATCAGCGGGCCCCCAGCTGAGGCAGACACAGGAGTGAAACAGATGCCCATCTCTAACATCTTTGTGGTTGCACATTATGCAACAGCAGTTGGCTGATTCAGGCACATCCTACACACAGATGTACAATTCCTGTGATTCAGAATTATGTACTAGAAGGATCCTGGGCTTTGACGGAGTTAACCTGAATCTTGGTTTGGGCATTTAGTGACATGAAGACCTCAGGAAAACCGGTGAAATTCTCCGAGGCACGGTTTCTTGAACTCTGAAACGGAAGTAAAAATATTTACCTATAGGGAGACACTATGGACTTAATCATGAGCCGCCCCCTCCAAAAAAACCCCCAAAAAACTGCAGCTCTAACTCCCTAGTGTGCCTGTATTGGAGATGGGGCCTGTGAGGAGGTAATTAAGTTGAGATAAGGTCATAAGGGTGGGGTCTTCATCTGATAGGATTGGAGTTCTTGTAGGAGACACCAAAGTGCTATCTGTCTATGTCTACACGCTCTTTCTCTTTCCCCCTCTCTCTCCCCCTCTTTCCCGCTCTCCCTCTCTCCTGCCCCCCCCCACTTCTGTCCTCTCCCTCTCCTCACCCCAGCCACTATGTGAGGACACAGGGAGAAGGTGGCTGCCTGCGACTGCTAATCTTCACAGGTTTCTCCAATATTGTGAGAAACAAATTTCTGTTGTTAAGCCACCCAGCCCGTGGTGTTTGGTTACAGCAGACTGAGCAGACTAATACAGAGAAATTCAGGATTCTATGTGAACTGCCTAGCACCTAGAGGGGCTGAGATGATAAATCTCTACCTAGAGAGTCGGAAACAGGTAGGCTATAAGTACACTGAAAATCAGTAGTGTCAGAAACACACTTGCCACTGATGTGGTCATACAACCCTGAGTTTTAGCTGGGCACATGATACCCAAAATAAAAACTGTGTTTCCCAGATTTCTTTGCAGCTAGTGTGACTGGGCTATGTGACAAAGTTATGCTCAAGAATATATAAATGGAAATGCCATGTCATTAAAAAGAGAGAGGGCACCCTTCCCCACCTCTCTCATTCTTACTGGCTGGAATGTGGAGGTAATGAGGTGATGGCTGGAGCTCAAGCAACCATTTTGGAGTAGGAAGCCACATGACATGCACAGCAGAAAGGAGACAGAAGGAGCCTACGTTCTGACGCCTTGGTACCAGCCCTGGACCACCTGCCTATGGACTTCTAGAAGAGAAAAATAAACTACTAACTTGATTAAGCCACTATTATTTAGGGCAGCCTACTTAGGGCTACTTGGGAGCCTGCAAGAAATGCGAATTCTCAGCTCCCACTACAGAACCCCTACGCCAGTCTCTGAGGCCAAGGAATCTGTTTCAACGAGTTCTCCAGGTGATTCCTACGCTAAAGCTTGAGAGGCATTGATTTAAGAGATTTCCGCCACATCCGCCTAACCTGATAACTGATAGAGTCGTCTGAGATTGCAGGTTTTGTCCAGGACTTGGCAGGGGCTATAAAGCCAGGAAGGATGGCAAAGCCAGCAAATGACAGTGTCAAGATTTAAAATGATTTTGACAGAGTGGAACACTGGACCAAAGCCAAGCAGATGAATGTAATTGGAATATATAAAAAGCAAAGCAAAATGTTCTTTTTTTATTGAAGGAAATATAAAATGTTCTACTCTTTGACTTCTTAAATTAAAAAGAAATATAAAATTACATATTTTAAAGTGCAGCAAATAATGCTATAGATCAATGCCAATTACGGCTAGTGGAGGGAATGACGGAAGGAGATATGATCAGGAAAGGGAATGGAAACAAAAAACCCAAAGTAATAAAGAAATACAGAGTCCAGGGTGGAAAAGAGGAGAAGTGAGGCCGCAGTTTAGGATCAATCTGTAGACATTAAGATGATCTGTGCAACTGGAAGTAGTCATAATGAGTCAGATTACATTGACACCTACTATGTGCCAGGCACTATGTAAATTAATCCACTCAGGAACTTTATGAGGTAGGATCGATTATTATCAGTTTCTCAGACACAATTACTGAAGCACAGAGAGGCTGAGTCCGTTTCCCAAGGCCACACAGCTAAGACAAGGAAGCAGGACATGAACCTGGGTGGCTAGCGTTCAGGGCTGTGACCCTCAGTCACCCTAGTATACTCTACCCTTTGGTGCTGCCCCACTCTGGTGACTGATCAGCTTCTACTGATTGAAAGCCACACATAAAAATAAGGAAATCCATGACCTCCTATGACTGTGACCAGAGTAGGATCCAGGTGTAGGAGGATTATCAGCTCAAAGATGTCATCAGAGGCACAAGCGCTTTCCACTCCTGGGTGCTACGGTTCTGAGGCTCTGGCTTCATTCTAAGGCTGGCTCTGTTCATAGTTCCAAGATGGCAGCCAACAGTCCTGAGGCTCTGTGCTGTTTCTTCACCACCAGCAAGGGAGAGAGGGTGTCACCCCACACATGGAATATTCTGAGATACGTATTCTTTAATGCAGCTTTAGTATAATAATGTAGGCAAATGACAATTCTTGGGCACTAGGGGTCATCCTTGGGAATGCTTCAAGTTACCTGTGTTAGGTTACTCAGCACCTAACCCTGGAATCAAGGATGGGGTCACCTACCCAGGGTTTTGTGGTACCCAGGACAAATGGGCTCCACTATCAGTTGTTGTGATTCTCTCTTTTTTCTTCTAAAGCAAATCAAGTCTCCTCATGTGTTGAAATCCTAGCACAATAATCAAGATTGAGAAAATCGTAAAATATTCATTAGAAAACACTTTGGATAGAAACCAACAAACCCCTCTTCCCAATTCTTCAACAGCCTTTCTAACCATCTGAGGCATCACAGGAGAAGGCACTTGGGGGCAGTCACCTTCATGCTTTCCTTTGACAGGTAAAAATTACATTCTGTAAGGAGGGACCACTTAACAGTGGTGGTGGTAGCAGGTGTTTTTGGAGGCTGGAGGAGTCCGGCATTTATTAAATGTCTAGGTGCCTAGAATGATGTGTCATGCTTTCTCATTTCTCTACTTTAACAACTATAAGGAGGTAATGTGATTCCCGCTTTGTAGGTGAGAGAGCCACGGCCCAGCATTGCTGTGCAATTTGCTTAGTGTCATTTAGCTTGTCAAGCGGCGGAGGTGAATTTCAAACTCAAGTCTATCTGATTCCACAGCCCAAGTTCTTTTCACCACAGCACACTGGCCCAATCCAGGATTGTTCCCATGTGCTTAAATTATTGGGTTGTTGGAGAAGTCATGACGCATTTTTGCAATGAAAAACAGAAAAAATACATCATGACTTTTTCGACGACCCAATATTATTAGCACTGAGCCTTTTAACTGAGGTTTCCTGGCTACTTCTTATCTGCCCTCTGGCCCGTGTTGGTTGTGAGAACGACTCTCAGCTTATAACAGATTTTATAAAAAATTATTCTTATTGAATATTTGCTGTCTGCCAAGAACTTTGCTCAATGCCATGTGTACAATCTCAGTTTATTCTGCCAATAAGCCTGTGATGCAGTTTATTACGGAGAATGTTGTTAGTTGCTAGTGATAGAATCCCAAATTAATCACATGCCAATGGCCACATCCACAATTCTTTTCTAGTTACGACTCTGCCTAGAATTAATTGCAGGTATCTTGAATTTATCTGACTTCAATGGGAAAACACTGTAAATCTCTTTTCCTTGAGCTGTTTTGTCCAATTTAAAAGATTTAATTGGTGCCACCTTAATCAATTCAGTGGTTTTAATAGACATACCATACATTCCATTGGTCCTTGCCACAAGGCTGAATTTTTACCAGGCCTTTGCCACCTAAAGACCTCAGTTTTATCTTTTATTATTTGGAAATCAGACTCAATTTCATCCTCTAGTCCTCTGAGTCCTCAACTTTCTGGACATTTCTACTCCGTTTGACATCTCCCAAATGGACAATTCTTTCCTAAACTCAACTTTCTCTTATAGTACTACATTATGTACAGACCATAGCACCTCAGGCATATGAGTCACATACTGTTTCATAACCTCTTTGCCTGAAAACACAAGCTCATTCAGTCCACATCTTCCCAGTGATCATACGTAAAAGTTTTACCGAATGCATCACCACTAGATAACATGGGTTGCCCGTTTTCCATCCTTTGATAACATATTATTTTGCTTCCCACTCCCGAGCCCCCGAGTTAAGGCCTCATCATTTAAGTTTTCTGTTATGGCTGCACCGCAATTGTAAGTTCCAACTACTGTAACAATCAGCTTAGCCTAAGTAATGCTGGAATAACAACAAACAAGCACCACCTCTTTACAACAGGAGAGTTATTCCTTACTTATGTCCATGGCCTTTACAGGTCGGCTGTGATTTTGCTTCATGTCCTCTTTATTCAAGACTCAGACTGAAGATGCAGACACTATCTGGAACATTCCAGCTTGTGGCAAAAGAAAAAAACAAAACAAAAAACAAAACAAAAAACAAAACCGGGCACATTTGCCTTTGCTTAAAAATGGCACATGTACTTCCGGTCACATTCCATTGGCCACAGTCAGTCATACGGTCAAGCCTGACTTAAATGGGTACAAAATCTCCTCCTCCTACAGGGAAGGGGAGCATAGAAGCCCACAGTGAAGACAGCAGACATTGTTGAGCAAATAATACAATGCACGCAGTTGTGTGCTGATAAATGCTTAACAACTGCCTCTTGGGGAGTAAATGCCCTGATATGTAGCATTTGCCAATTTCCATGGTGTAACTACTCCCACAATGGCCGATTTCAAAGTACCAATCAGATGTGACAGAATGCAAAATTAGGCAGGAGATGTGTGCAGTCAGCTCTCGTGAGCCAGTGTGAGCAGGCCACAGCACAGTACTGAATTCACCCCGTTTTAAGTCAATCGCTAAACACAAATTGAGTGATACACGTTCCATGGTGTGAATATGAAATCTTGCTGTGGACTACGGAAGCAAGGAGGGTATTATTAGGTGTGACTCCGCGTCAACCTGCCTTAAGCCTAAATCAGGATTGGCAGTAGGGATGAGGAGGACTTAGGCACCTCGAAATTAAACCTTCACATTATTTGCTATTCCTGTATTAACTGGCAAATTCAAGTGGAGAGTAAGAATATGAGATTGAAATAAAAATCACCTTTGCCTCTATAAATAAGATTCAGCCCCAGGTTCCTCCTTGGCAGAAATTCTTATTAAAGACTTGGCTCTCCTCCAAGAAAAATAAGGTAGAGCTCATTCCAAACCCTTTAATTCCAAATTATT